AAAATAAGCTCTAAAAACCTGGTGCGTGGTCTTTACTCTTCTTAATTCTCTATATTGACATTCCTCATTCATTTAGATGGAAAAATTTCATGTGGATTTCAGATACAAAAAGTGTTATGATTGTGATTAGCTGTTACTGCAAAACAAAATGTCTTTTTAAGACGGAGTAATTGTAGATAAAATTTCTTTGGTGTATTTGAATAATTTGTTTTTAATACAAAATCAATTCTTTTAGTTAGTGCAATGCCTTAGAGTTGAGTGAAGCACTTTGGATCTCAGTCATTAGGCCTAAAATTAGTGACTGATAATTGGCGGCGGCGTGGCTGGGTCAACAGAATGGTTAACTCTGCCTAACAGAGATAGTCAGTTGATGTTAAATGGGTAGTATATGGCATGTATATAATTGTAAGACGCAGACAAAATCATTTTAAGGTTACACAGACATTTAAGTTTTTCAGAGACTCAAATTCTGCACACTGCATCTTGCTGATACAGTGATGCACAGTGTCTTCCAATTCCATTTGAACAGCTTCTCTTAGGAGATGACTTACAGGCCTTTCAGTATCAAAGCAGTCCTTGATTGCTGAATGCAGTCTTTGAACTTCGTGTGTGAGAGGTCTGCGATTTGCTGAAGTAAGTTCTTACTTACCTGGTCACATGTTATAAATGCATGCTGCTCGTCAACACCCATTTCATTGATAGCAGCATATAATTTGAGATTAAAAAGGAAACTAAAACATGGGGGAAGAAATATTATTCTTTGAAATTATGAACAAAGTGTTTATGTATTTGAAGTAAATGGAAATTTGAAGAGTATAGAATAACGGGAGGACATTGGCAATTCCTGTCTGACAGTGGCCACATCAGTGGTTTTTAATCTACTGCAGTGCAAAAGACCTGATACTGGATGAATTTAGGATAGTCAGGCTGCAGAGTACGTTTCTGCCTATTTTTCTTGATTTTAGTTGGTCTTTGTTTTCTAACCTCTATGTAAATATGATATCCACTGTTTGGAATGCCTTTGGACTCCTGTGGATCTATTGATCTCTGTGTCTTGAGCAGCAAGGTTCGAGATACGCTAGTGTTGTGTGAAAGGCAGGAATATTTACATTCATTAAATGCCCCAATTTCTAATGTCACTGAATTGTAGGTGTTTGGTAGAAGGAGTGAATGGGAAAGTTTGGTTTATCTTCCTTCTGTTGCACTTTTTCCTTGTGCCTCTTAAGTTTCTGCTTCCAATTTTTTTCAAAACTAGGGCCTCTACGTTTTTTGAATTTTGCCTGATTCAGGTACATTATTGTATTTCAGCGTATTTTTACAAACTTTTTCTGAATCCATTCCTGTAAAGACACTGACTGGAATTGATTTTAACACTCCTGGTATCTCTTACTCCATTCTTCATCTATCCTGTCCTTGTGTTTGCCATTCAGGCTCCATGTAGATTTTCAGGTCTTCCTTCAGTGCTATACTTGGATTAGCCTGTGTGCTCTGTGTTTGATTGTAACTTGAAAAATCAAGTGTGTATGTTTTAATTAAGTCTCCTGAAGCATATCTCTGCTAACGCTCTAAGTGTCAAAACAAGTCTGCGGGGGAATTCCCCACCCCTGGTATGGAGTGAATGGATGCTGGGTTGCATTGCCTGTCTGTGTACCTTGATGTACTCATTTTTCTGAAGTAACCGGGAAAAACAAATAATTTTTTTAAATATAAGACTGAAATTATAACGTACTTCTAGGCTTATTTTATCCAAAGTGATGATAAAGTGTTAGCTAGTGAGCATTCAGGAAAGATTAGTGAAAAAATAGCTAGGGCAACAACAGTAGTGTCACTTTGGCATTACCTGGTTATTCAGTTCTTTTTCACCTTGTACTAGGTCTGGCTGGGATAGAGTTAAATTTCTTGATAGCAACCTGTATGCTGCTGTGTTTTGGATCTGTGGCTAAACAGTGTTGATAACACACCAGTGTTTTGCCTGTTGCTGAGCGGTGTTTGCACAGTGTCAAGGTTATTCCTGCCTCTCGCCCGGGTGAGTAGACATGGAGTGGGCAAGAGATTGTGAGGACATAACTGCTGGGACAGCTGACCAGTATTGGTCAAGGGGATAGTTCGTACCATACAATGTCCTGCTCAGCAATGAAAACTGGAAGTAGAGGAAGAAGAAGGGAGGACAGGAGGGTTGGCTTCCAAGGAGGCTCTTGCTCGGAGACTGGCCAGGCATCGGTCTGCTTGTAGAAGGTGGTGAGTGATTTCCTTTGTATCACCTCCCTGCCCCATTCTTTCATCTATTTGTTAAACTACCTTTGTCCCAACACTTAAGCTTTCTCGCTCTTTTTCTTTAGTTCACTACCTTTCCTACTCAGGAAGGGATGGGGAGCCAGTGAGCGGCTGTGTGGCTGCTTGTCTGCTGGCTAGGATCAACTTGCCGCGCATCTGAAATTCAGTCGCAACATTCAAAATCTGTATGCTAGCAACATGGTATTTGTCACAGGTCTGAATGAAAGTGTGGTTTTGAGGTTATATACCTATTTGTTTTCACATTCATATGTAAAGCTATTTGAGTTAGGAATGTTTAGAAGGATTACTAGCCTGTTCTTTGGATTATCTCTGTTAAATTTTTGTAGTGTCCTCTTTGACTGAGCAATCCACATGTGTCTGGTAAATTGAAGTGTTCTTAAAATGTTTGATGGTGTTTCTTGTACTTCCTTGCTCTTTAAACATGGTGGATCCTTTTTCATATTGTCCCATAATGTGACATTTACAGTGTTAAAATAGATAAGAAAACTGTCCATGTCTTTAATACTGTTTTTTGTGGTGAAGGATGTTGGTGGTATAAAGTGCTCTTATCTTTTGCCCGGTTCACGTGGAGTGCAGTTTCAGTATCGGTTGATAGCTGTTAACAGAGAAAAAAATATATTGATCTAACTTCACCCTCTCCTTTCGAATGCAGTTTTAGTTCTTCTTAAAGCTGTGTAGAAATCTTCAAAGCATTTTTGGTCTGATTTGATAAGTTCAAGATCTCTTACTGTTTTCTCCTGAAGTAAAACAGTGGATCTCTTGAACATAGGCCTACCATTACACTTGTGTGTTGGCAAGATTAATCTTAAGTTTAAGAAGTGATATTAGCAGAGGAAGAATGGTCCATCTGAGACTCCCAGAAACATTTGTTTTTATTTCCTCTCTAGAATCTGGGTAATAGAGGGCATAATGTTACCAACATTAGAATTGCTTAGAAAAAAACCCTTCAGATCAGATCATGATACAATAGTCTTTCCTCCTTCCTGGGAGGCTGCCATTGATTTGTTTATCACATGGAGATATAGAGTTTTTTTGCATAGAGATGTATAGCCATCTGCATTGCAATGGGATGAGATTATTACAGTCCTAAGAACTACCTGCTGAGCAGTTTTACAGGTATGCAGCCATCCATCTGCTAAAGAATAAAAGGCCCGTGATGTTGTCCCTTACCATTTCTCTAACTTATTTTTACTATTGTTTGAGGTGACATCAATATACTGGCTCTTTGCAGAGCCTCATCTTTAGGGCAGCATTCTGATAGCAGTTAGGGATATTGGCAGATGGAGCACAGGGCGATGCAAGAACAACTTCCTGGATCAGATACTTACTTCTTTCAAGCCATTATGGAGATGCGCCATAGTGTAAAGGTTCCCTCATTCACATAGGATTATTGTAGTAGGATGCTACTTTGGTGATCTCAGTGCTGTACTTTTGGAGCCCACGTCAGGCCCTGCTCTCTGTAGGCAGACTTGGAGAGTAACTGGATTTTGGAAGCAGAAACCTGTAGGATATATTCAAATCTAAAGGAATCTAGAAAAAATCTCATGAAATAGGGTCTGTACATGAATGCAGATCTGTGCAACAGTATGTCTGTAAGTAAGAATGTTTGAATGAGAAAGGTGTTCAGTAGATTGTACTTGTAGCTGTCAGCTTTGGACGTTGGGTTTTTAATGTATGTCTCAAAAGGCTAATTTAGTTGTTTGTTTTCCAAATCACAGTGGTCACATAGGCTTGGCAAAAGCTTAAAGGCTGAGATCTTGTTTGAGTTAGATATAGAAAAGAGGCAGTAAGAGTGCTGGAACCTGTGAGGCCAACTATGCTGTGCAAGTTAATGTGGTGGTTTTACATTGATGTTACTGTTCTCCCTCTGCCTTCCATTGCGCTGTTTATTTTGCTTGATTGAGACATTCTGTATTACCAGGATGGAGTGAATTATTTATGTGCTTGTCCACATATATAGAAGTGATTACACTGTGATATTAATAGAAATGAAAGTAATTAATTTTGCAGCTGCAGATTGTTTTGACTTCATTACTTTGAGAACATGTGAAGTATAAATCACATCTTGATATGAATTAGTGTTCAAGACTGAATTAGTGTTCAAGACTGGATCTGAAACATTGGCACTGATTGGATAAGAACTTCCTTCTGTATTTCAGTAATTTCCATGCTAACTTTAAAATCCTTATATTTTAAAAACAAACTCGTATTTGTGTATTTCTTGTAACCATTGTAGTCACTCTCCTTCTTCCTTCTGGGTTTCACAAATGAGTGGCATTTGCAGTGTTTCATAATATTTTTTCCCCGAGTTAAGGGTTATATATGAACTGAAATCATATTCTGTTGCTCAGTTCTATTACCAGGTGTCTGTCTTGTTAGGTTTATAAATAGATTTCGTGAATGTATATTTTTTCAGGACATGAAGAAAATTGCATGAACTCTTTAAGTTTTGATGCATAGCAGATATTTTTATGAATTTATGAACATTTTGAATAAGAGCAAATGTTGAAGGATTATTTGATTGGGTGTGTTTCACTTAAAGTTAATGGTTGTATGTGCAGAATACAATTGGTGGTCTAAACACTAGACTTGCACTCTGTAATTCAGCTGTAGTCCACTAGTAGTTCAATTATTAGTTCATTGTATTTCAGTGATCAGTGAATCGTAACTGACTTAATGTTCTGCTTTTTATTCTTTAGTGCTGCAAGTTGATTGAATAAAATTAAGAACATGGAATATAGTATGGATGCAGTTCCTTGAGCACCGTTTCTTCCACAGTGTATGTTTTGCAGATTGTTGGCCTGAATGATTGATGGATAAACAGCGTACACAGGACTAATATCAAGAAAACATTGTGTCTGTTGTGGCTGTGTTTGACAAAACTGATGCAGAATCACATCTTCTGAAATGCAGTTGAAAAAAATGAGGGAAATTTTACCAAGATTGTACCCTGGCCAAGTTAACGATAAAAATAATTCCTTAACTACATCCCCAAAGCAGTCTTCTGAGGATAAAACAAATCCATCAAAAGGGGACGATGACCAAAACTACTGTTACCAAGGAACTGAGGCTGAGTACAATAAGTTGTCACTGATAAGCTGTATAAAATGCAGAAGCGTTCAGAAAATTTCAGTGCAAGATATAGAGAAGCGTAAGAAGCTTGGGTGGACTGAAGACAAAAATTTCATCTGCAAGAAGTGCAGTCATAGTACACCATCAGCTTTCCATTTTGTTCCTGAGGGTGCCAATGCTGTCAACTTTGAAAAACATGAAAAAAAATCTCCAAGTAAACCCCAGAAAACATTTAAGGTTAAAAACTTTCTGCCAGGTAAATACTACTGTGATAAATGTAGGTTTTCAACAAAGGATCTTTTGCAGTATAAAAAGCATATAGGTCAACATGAAGAAATTAAATTTTTTTGTTCCCACTGTAGTTACATATCCTACACCAAAGGAGAATTCCAGAGACATTTGGTGAAACACACTGGAACTTTTCCCTATCAGTGTGAATACTGTGAATATGGTGCTGTTAGACATGACTATATAGTAAAACATACGAGAAGAGTACATGAAACACCCACAAAACGGCTGTCAAATACTATCATAAACCACAAGCAAAAGAAGCCAAGTCAAAGCTCTTTATCTGAAAAGCGGAAATACGATAAAATTCCTTTTCAGAATGAACTTTCAAATGCGTCTTCAAATATGGTTTGTGAGATTCCAGATGAAGTAACCAAAACAGTCTGTTCATCTCATGATGTAGAATGTGGTGTAAACACAGCATTGGTCCAGGATAAATCAGTATTGGAGCCATCTGAAATAAGCGTATGTGAGAATCAAAGTGTTGAAGTTGAGGTTTATTCTCCAAAAACAGAGCCTTTACAACCTGGAATGCCTTTAACAGTAATTGCACCGTCTGAACTTGTAGTTCCTTCTAACTGTTTAGCTCAGATAGTAGAGATTAAAATAGTGAATGGAGCACAACAGCTGGTTCTTAAACTAATTCCTATGAAAGAAGCAACTTATAAACCTGTAAATGGTACAGAAGAGGAACTTGAGAATCAAGGTATAGAACGATCTGCAGAAGAGAAAAAACAGTCTTCTGTATCTCAAAATGAGTTACTAACCATGGAAGTGAATGTAGACAAATTATCCAGTGTTAGTAACCAGCTTAATTTGGATGATACATGTGACAAGAATTCTGAATATCTTTGTTTTTCTGATTCTCAACTCTCAGACTGTAACTCTGTATCTATACAGAGGGAAGATGCATCAAAATTATGCCTTCATTTGGTGAAAGGTATTGATGTCCATTCAGGTGTTATAGAACTTTGTTCTCCATCTCTGGTGATGAATAGTACTGAAAAAAAAAGTGATCTTAAATCCACAAGGTGGGAAGTAGATGGAAAAAATAGCTTACATTATGACTTGTATTGTTATGAAGAAGCTGTGGATAAATATGCTTGTATTTCTGAAGACAGAAGTTCTAAGAACATCTCAGTAGAGGCTGCTCCGGAGGGCAGAAATTCCTCTTGTTCTGCAGTCCTTAAACAAAAGGATACATCGCCTCTAAAGAGGGGTGACAAAGAGTGTAGGAGTCTGCCAGTCAGCTTTGCAGAAACACATTTAGCTGGTAAGGGTTTTGATAAAAAAGCTGTTACGTCTTCTCAAGCAGGAAAAAGTTTTCATGTCACTAAAGCTCCACTTTGTGAGGACATGACTTTTGGCTTTAGCAAAGTAAAGAGAGCTGAAGCCGTAAATCAAAAGGACAGTCGTCATCTGGAATCATTAGAACTACAGAAGATGGAAAATAAAAGCAACCCTTTTGAAGGACCTGTTATTTCATCTGTATTTTCTCTCAGCTCTGGGGCTGAAAATGTTCCAGAGGGTGTCAGATGGGATGACACAACATGCAATAAGTCAGCAACACTGCTATGTAGAAAGATTGCTCAGCTCATGTCCGCTGCTGAATCTAACATAAAATCCATGCCTTTGAGATGTCAAGCTTCTAATAAAAAGGTGCTTTTCCCTCAAGAAAATTCAGCAAGCTGTGAGAGAGTTGTTCCTGCCACTGAGGTGGAACAGTCTGTGTCTTTGCCTCAAGTGCATGGTGGAAGCAGTGTGATTAGTAACGAAGAACACAGTAAAGATCAGTTGCTTACATTTGCAAGAACATCTAAAAGCAGGGTAACTAAAAATTCCCATATTGCTACTCCAGTGTTTATCCCCAAAGGGACAATGCTGAGAGTGCTGAATGTTACTAGCAGTCAAAACTCAAATGGAATAGAAAACAGGAGTGAAACATCAGCTCCTTCTCTGTATTGCAATGAAATGTTTCTGCCTCGCCCGGTTCCTGTCAGTGTTTCAGAGACACTCGGCAGTAATTTGCCGTGTTTGCCTAATCAGAGTGAACCAAATGTGCAGTCCCGAAGTATATCCCTCAGGCAAAGACCAAAGCGAGAGGCAACTGTTAAAAACAATAGCAAACAAACTGGTGTGCCATTTCAGAAAAGCAGTGATGTCAATAAGCAAAGCAAACCCTATTCAAGAAGTCAACTAGGTCCCAAAAATAAGGTGAAACAAGCAAGTTTGAGGGAACTTCGTAAGAGAAAAACAAGAACTCAGTCAGAGACGAGTTCAAGTTCTGACATGTCGTATCTGTTGACAGCAAGACGTCTTCGTCTTGTCCCTCTGAAGATGAATCAGTTGATAAAATGCCCTCGTCGTAACCAGCCAGTTGTGGTACTAAACCATCCTGACGTTGACTCACCAGAGATAATTAATGTCATGAAGACTATCAACAAGTATAAAGGTCAAGTCCTGAAGGTAGTTCTATCAGAAAGGACAAGTAGTTGTCTTGGTGTCAAACGTTATCGAAAGCGTCTTACTCTTCAGAATGCTGAGACAGGAAACCAAGCAAAAAAGCAGAGTATGCTAAAAATGAAGCTAAAAAAGACCCATAAGAACAACTACCAGGTGGTGGAAGCTTCACCAGCTGAAACACTTCAGTGTATGTTTAAGTGTTGGTTTTGTGGAAGAGTGTATATGGACCAAGAAGAATGGATAAGTCATGGACAGAGGCACTTGATAGAGGCGACCAAGGGTTGGGATGTTCTTTCTTTTCCAGCAAAAAAGCGTTAAGTGAGAGACCAGGGGGAGTTTCCCCTCCTAATGAGTGCTACTAACTTGCTTGGAAACAAAAATTGAAATAAATGCTGTATTTTGCCAAAAGGTCTCTACTGTTAGCAAAGTGGGAGAGGAGAGCAGAGTTAGAGAGATACAGAGAAGCCGATAGTGAGGATTAAGCACTACTTTGCACTCTCATGTTTGAAATTTGTATTGGAGGTCTCCTTCATCTGTTCCATAGGAGAAATTTGAAAAAGATTTGCTATGCAAACATCTTTCTAGTTACCATTCTGTATGCTAGGATACTGTGCTGTGACTGGTTTGTGGTAGGTCTGTAGGGATTAAAATCTTAGATGATGAGATCTTTGTAAATTTAACAGGCTTTAGTTTGCTTTATTACAGCATAATGTTTCAGAGATTGAGCATATGTGTACTGAAAAACATCATTGATCCTCTGTGGGCAGCAAGTGTATATCATAGGTTTTAGTGGCAAATAAAGCGCCATGCATAAAGAATAAAACTTAAATGTGACTATTTCAGTGAAACAAAAACATTTCTGCTGACTTCAGAGGAAATACAAGGGTGTAAATGAAGAATCGGTGGGATCAGTTACTCCCACTAGGTCAAATAGCACTAAAAAGTTTAATTTTGTTTAGTACTTAGTCTGTGCGTAGCCTGTGTTGCGTAGATGTGAGAAAGAGAGAGCAGAACACTGTCAGCTTTCTGTACCATCTTTGTTCTGAGCAGACAGAGCTGGAGAACTTATCAGGCTTGGACCAATACAAGAGAGAAGCTTTTTTCTATATGGTCTCAAGGCTGTTTTGAAGTCCTAGAAAGTAATAGCCAAACATAAACCCTCTACTGCCATGTGTGTAGCCTGATAGAAACACCTTTGCAAAATTGGGCATTTAGTTAGAACTCTAGCCGGTGCGTTAATGCTTATTTACAGGCGGAACTTGCTGAAGATGAAGACTTATAATAATCTAAAAATGAAAAACCATGTTGCATAGCTTTTACGTTGACAATGTTGAACCAGACTTTCAGTGCAATCTTTCATGCTTCTTAAGAATTTAGATGTTAGAATATATTTTTTGTCGCCCTCAGTTCATACAAGCATGTGCCTAGTTACATATGTACGTCTAATGTGTATCTGCTGACTTCAGTGCAGTGTAAGCATTGCTCAGTTGCCTAAACACTTCCCTAAATCAGGGCTAACTTTCCAGTTTTCAGTAAAGAGGAGGGATGGATGATACTGAAGTCTAATGTTTCTGTATGTGAGCAATGGATGTTTTTCTTCATCTTGTCAATTTGAAATAATTTTAAAATCGTATAGAATGAACTATATCGAAGCACATATTTACAATTAAAATAACTTCTTACATTTTTACAGATAAGAAAACCAATACAGACTTTCATGCTGGATTTGTGTTCTGTGTTTGAACTGGGACTACTCTTGGACAAACTGGTGGATCCTAACTCTTTTCACTGCTGGTGCATTTTTGTAAACAGTTTAAGCTGGGAATATTTTTTTTATATACTTCAGATTATACATTGTTTTGATAAAGTATGTATCCTATCTGTATTGAAATGTAAATATTTTAAAACTACATCTGACTGAGGCTTATTTTCAAAACTAGTTAAAACATTGCTTCCCAATCATTTTGCAATACAGTGTTAAAGTCCTTCAGATGGTGCTTCAAGTCAGATCTTTTTCATTGTGTACATGTGGAAAATTTTTGTATCATTTGTATCAGACTAACATATTCCACAGAACAAACTTCTTGTTGTCTGTTTTGTCAACAATAATGAAATGGCAGTTCTCATTTTATATTCAAATGGAATTATATTTTTTTAGATGGGTACACTAGAGGGTTTTTTCACTTCATATACTTTGATGCCAAACCTAACAGTACTGTTTGCATTTTCAATAGTGAAAACAGCTTCTTCACTCCAGTTTTCTGTTTGAATTAATTTTGTTTCTGTAGAAGCTGCTAAATAAATAGTTTTGAATTTGCTTCGTAAGAGTTGTCACTGACAAAATTAAAACATTCCTCATGAAGGCTGCATTGGGGAGGCATTGCTGCTCAGCATTATAAGCTTGGGGTGGTTTAAGTATGCTGGTAATGCTTGTCATCTGTAAGGAAGTTTACCGTTTTAGCAAACATCTGCAAAGCCTTGTATATCACTGCCATAATCTGCTGTCTAAATTGTTAAGCTGTGGCTTTTTTTCATGGGTTGAATTTAGAAAATATGTGTTTTGTTTTAACAGGAAAACCTTTTGTGAGTTAAATTGTATGGTGGTTATGAAACATATAAAGCAGATTACATCATGTCTCTCTTCCTTTTTATTAGGTCTGCCAAACTCTGCTTAGCAGCTTGTGTTTTGTTAATTTTCATTCTTAATATTAGATAATGTCATGTCAGAATAATGTCCTTCCAGTTTAACAGGCTCAGTGGTTTGAGAGAAATAATTCTAACGAACATTCTCTTTCATTTTGATGCAACATTGAGGAAATAAAAAGGTTGCAACCAACTGCTGAATTTTTTTAGAGTTAGTTTGTGCCACTATATAGTACATCATAAATTGAGTTGGAATGTCATGTTTTGGGCTTGAATGTTTTTATTCTTCTTCTTCCTGTTCTGTAAGGATAAAGTAACAGAGGTTGCTTTCTTGGTGTATTCCAGTTACATAGTCAAACTTCTCCGTGTGCTTAGAGTTGAAGGTTATGGACGCTTTGCAGAAAAATAGTGAAGTTTGCCTTTCACATTTGTAATGAATTTAGTTAAGCCTGCCAAAACTCAAATTATACGAATAATTATTACCATGTTTTTTGCTGGAAAAGATCACCTTCTCATCGTCTTTGATACACAGTGGAACATGTTTTGTTCTGAGTTTGAAGCACATCTACTGTTCCTACTGATGATTTTTCTCTTTATTTGTGTGTGGTATGAATTCAAATGGACTGTGTGCATAATAGTCCTACTGTATAAGTGACTGAGCACTCAGATATAGAACAGAATTATCTGCTACTTAGGCTAAAGAGTGTTAGTTAAGTAATAGAATCTACATAAAGGTAGCTTTATAATCTGCTCCAATACCTGTGAGCACCAGCTCAAACCCAGTGACTTCAGTGGCTGCCAAGCACAGCTTGTTATTGTGCAGACACACATGCAGACTGAATGAAATTGTTAAACAGTGAATACTCAGATAAATAGCATTTCACGTGCATTTTTTAAAAGCAAGAAAAAATCTTTATATGATTGTAGTATGCTTTATTAGGTTTTGCTACTAACAGCTTCAGTGACATTTAGGTAAGCAAGGTTGAATTTGGTTTTCATCTTGTGTGTAGAAGGTACAGTGCAAGATAAGCAAATTTCTCAACATTGTCAAGATATTAGGAGTCAGTCTCTTAACGCTTTTCTGTGAATTAGTACAATGACATATAATTTACCTGTATCCTCAAAGTTAAAAGCAAAATACAGGAATCAAAAACTGGAGTAGATCTGTATTCTCAGTTGGAGAGAAGTTTTTTAGTGGAGCATTTAGAATGCTTCGTACTGTTATGGGGATCTCCTCACTTAAAGGCTAATCTGATTTTTGAGATATTTAAATAATTGTTCTATTTACATCTCTACAAACAAATCAGTGATGTTAAGGCAGAAAACATCTTTTGTGCAACTTGAATGGATATGTAAGGTAGCATTGTTCTCTCTGGATCCATGATTTATCCTTTCTATCAATGAGTGTGATTGGAACATATTTGTAGAAGTCAATGATTTCTTTCACAGAACTAAATTTCTGGGGAAAAAAAGAAAAATTATAATCAGTGACTAAAAATGACATTGCTAGATGGTTTTATCTATAACATTAGAAGACTTGTAAATGACAGTATTAGAAATTGGTAATATTTTGCACACAATTATAATTAGATTAGATGGAAGCAATCATAAAACAAAAAGCACCATATTTTAATCTTCTTATTTCCTTTGTGTGTCTCTGTCTTGTGTAAGAGAAAGTGGCTGGCTGCTTAGGACAAAAGGGGAACATGTCTAAACCCTGAGAATGCAGTATCGCCTGTAAAAGTTTGTGATGCCAGATGTCATGATAGATTTTGAAAAGATAAAGCAACTATAAATCATCACTAACTTTACCCTGTCAAAAGTTAAACTGAATTAGCAGTACCTGATGCTTTATACTGCAAGTTTCTTTGTACCTTTTTAAATGTACCTTTTATTTTTCCATTCAATTTACTGAGAAAATGGCTATAAAATCCTTTTAAAGTATGGATCAAGAAGGGTCTCAGCAGGCTTTTAATCTTGTTCTCTGGTGTTCAAAACAATGACATCCTCCTAGCCTTTTCCTAAGATGACAAAGATGTGGTTCGAGATTCCTGAACTGATCAAGCAGCAACGGAAAGTTATCCAAGGTATTTGTCCTCATCTGTCCTGGTGGGAGTGGCTTAATCTTGCCATTCCAATGGTTGGGAGTCCTTCAGTTTAAATCATTCTCTTCCCTGTGTGTAACTTGTAAGCTCTCATCATCACACCACTGAGCTGTCATCACACCAGTGTTTCTCCTTTTGAGCTGTTCTTTGGACTCATTGATATTAAATCAGTAGAGCTGTACACAGTAATGCAAGCTTACTGTGACATTAATACCTATCCTGTATCTGTATTATATCACATTTACTGTATGGGCATTAATTGTATACATGATGGTATCTCATGGTAGTCTCTGTCATCTCCGCCTGATCTACACCTAGTTTATAACAAGAGAATCTGATTAAATCTGTGATTTGATGAAACTGTTCCCGTATTATTTTAAGATGGAAATTCTTTGATCTCGAAACCAATGTTCTAATTTTTTAAAGTTTTGTTTTGATAATTTTTACTTGTATGCATTTGCTCCACTTTGCTGTTTTGTGTTTGCATTATTATCAAGGCATTGCTAGAAATCTAGGCAAACTTGTGGTTTGTATTTCATACCATACCAAAGTAATCTTAGCTTTTTTTAT